TTTTCGGAGCCCTAACTATGACTGCTTGTAGGTTTGAAATATCAGTAATGAGGACATCCAAGAAGATGAACTCATGATTGCTAAGGCGGGCCTTGGGGGGGAAGACCCCCCAGGGTCCTTGGGTGATTTTTTTGAAGACAAAATTTTTATTTTCTTATATGGTAGTTTTTTCTGAAAATGCGTGATGTGGGAAAGAGTTTTATAGTATTGACTATAAAAATTTAATCACATTTGTTTTAATTAATAATACTTTTTATTATAGATATTTATTAATGATTAGGCTTAAGAATTTGTTGAAATATTTGCTTTATATTTACAAAGTAAATTGCAATTATCTAAGCTTTATACCTGGTGTTATTATTTAATACCTATAATAAAAGAATATGGAGCAATAAATAGTATAACTATAGAGACCTATGAAACTCTTTACAAAATATATATTAAAAATTTATATTGAATGTTTAATAAAAAAGATTATATAAGACAGATATTAAAAATGGTATAATTATGAATTTATCTTTTTTAATTTTTATTATTTATTATTAAAATTTAATAATTAATTGTTTTAGATTAAACAAAAGAAATTAATAGAAAGTGAAGTTTCTAAAAAATATTAACAAATTATAGAATTTTATAAATCTTTGTAGATATTAAAATTGGAAGATTTAAATTACTTTATACAAAAAAATAAAGATGATTTGGATTTGTTACAAATTAAAAGACTTAATACTAGGGCTCCTAATGATACTACTTCAATATCAATTTGATACTTAAATTTATTATAGAATTATTTAAGTAGATCACAACCCATATATTAAATTTACTATAGATTGGTACCATTTTGATACCAGTTCAGTACTTTTCTGAGCCCTACTTAATACCTTAATAACAAGTTTTGATAAATTTCATGAAAAAGAATCAATTGATTCTATTGATAAAAATTATTGATTAGAAATATTTTTTTCAACAATATTGGAAAGTAATGATATTATCCATTCCTCATTAAATCTTCATGGAAAACCATCTTTTTCTAATGTTATTGTAAGTAAAAAAAAATGAAATATGAGAAAATTGATTGGTATAGTTTGATAAGCAATTGAATTAAATTAAATTAATATCAAATAAAAAAATTATTATATTAATTTAATATTTTATTTAAATAATGTTGATATTTAAATTTTATAAATCTGAAGATAGCAAATTATTTAAACTTGTTTATATTTGTTGGTATCAAGAAGAGAATGAATTGTGAGAATATCAAAAATTAGAATTATTTGAACAGTATAGTTGTATACCAATAGATAGTATTGATAAAAGCATATATAGTTTCAAGATTTGATAAAACAAATAAATATTTAGTAAATAATTATATATTTTAATTTTAATCTATTAAATCAAATAAAATCAATTACTATTCAAATTAATTATAATGTTTTATAACAATACATAACATTAATTGTTAAAAATTGAAACCTATTTATCAAATAAAATACAATTTATATTAATATTGATATACTGTAAATCAATTATAAACAATTTTTTTTTTTGATATTAATCAATATAATGTACCACTATCAATACTTATCAATTAATTATAATTAATTACTAGTGATTATTGATTGACTATTGATAAATAACTCTCTAAAAAACTTCCTGATAATGTTTTAATCATATATATAAATTTTTGTATGTCAGCTTAGTGTTTCTAATTGATTTCCACTAAAAAAAATTTTCCAAATTAGGTTATAATCTAAATTTGATAACATTATTTGTATACCAGTTTAGTGATAGTAACTGATTTCCATTGCAATAAAATAGCTGAGATAAGTTATGTTACCAGGTTGGCTTTATCACAAGTTTGATTACGATTATGTTATCATTTGCAAAGGCAAATATATCACGCAAATGCTATCAAATATGCATTGCATAATTGTTATTGTATATGCTATATACACGCTATCAAGTTATGCTATCGAGACATATTATTGAGTATATGTTATCAAATATTTATACAAAATATATCACATAAATGCTATTGGGTTTATTGCAAATATATTATTGAATATGCTATAAATGTGCTATCAAATATACTTTATCAAATATACATTATATAACACGTAATTGCTATATACATATCGAATTATGTTATCCGGTTATGCTATCTGGTTATTGCTAACAGCTATGCTATTCAGTTATATTATTGTGTAAATGCCATCAGGTTTTGTTATTGATTATGTGATCTAATATGCTATTGGATATATTATATATAGCAGAGCTAGTACTTCTAACACATAAGAGGGCGGATATATAACATGTTATCTAACTCGATTTCATTTATAATATATAAGAAGATGATGAGTTTATAACTATAAATATATCTAATGCTATATACTCGAAAACATATCATTGAAAGAGTATTATTCTGCCATTTTTCTTATAATATATTACTGCACTTGAATATCCTGATCACATACCCAGAGACATACTGTATCATCAAAAGGTATAATCTTCTACCATTTTTATTATATATACTGCAAAAGACTACACCTTGAAGTATATACTGTATATATTTGCAATAGTCTTCTACCATATTTATTATATATATATCACAAAAGACTACATCTGAGAACATATCATAAAAATATACCATCAAGCATATACCTAAAAACATATCATCAAAAAAGTATAGTCTTCTGCTATTTTCTTATAATATATTATTGCAGAAGACTATTCCCGATTACATATCCCGAATGTATACCAAAAACATACCCGAAAACATGATATCAAAAATGTAGAGTTCCTATCATTTTTCTTATAATATTTTACTGCAGATTACTACATTTGGGCCCAAAATTATTCATTTATCAAGTTCGTGTTTTTTGTTATATATTTGACTAAAAATCGATGTATTTTTTTTGATATCGCTATGTACCAGCTGAAAAAAATAATTTAACCTTTCGAAAATATATTAGGATAATATAACTTTGTTGGCTGATAGATTCATAGAATAAAAAACCAAATATCAAAAGTGAGTAAACAAAGTGCACAACTCGAGCGGTATAGGGGCAGAGAAACCTTAGCCGGGATTCCAACTCGCAATGATATTATTTCAGACATCGGAAACATATTGCAGTACCATCTTCATATAGTCTACCTCTATTATAATTATATTTATCAAAATTTGCACCTTGGGTGTATGAGGCATGAAGGCAATACTGGTGATAGGTACAACGTGGGCCTCCTGGACCTAATAACTCTTGAAGAGACATCCTAACACGACATGCCCACTGAATAGGTGTTTCACCATCAAATATTAAACTAATAGAATCATAAGGCCTCTCAGCATCGATAATTATATTAAGAACATTACGTCCACCAGTTCTTGCAATCCTTTTATTTATATCTTGTTCTGCTCTCGACATATTTAAAGATTATATGAAATTTAAGATTATTAGACCTATTAGATTTAGTTCGATATATATGCTTAAATCTGGATTCAATTTTAGTGTAATTGGTTCTTGGACCGTATCTGCGAGAGTGTTATAATCGTCATATTTTGCGAGTGATGTACTGTATATGATGAATCCCATTCAAAATTTTGATTTATTTTACGTGCGATTAGGCAGGTTAACTGCTAGATAACGGATAACTGTTATGAATTGGTAGGTGTTAGTTCATTTTGACACCGCACGTTTCATGTAGACGTACAAGTTAAATAGCGGTAAAGCTTATTGCAAGCAATGACCCTTCGGATCTACAAAAAATCGGTTATTTAATAACTTTATTAATGTATAAATTCGGACGTGACATCAATGTCATATTCTATTTTCCTTTTTTAAAACTTCGACTATCACATAATCAATATTTTCTTGACTCAAGTTTGAAATGTTTGATGCCGAAAATGATCATTTGGTATGGTAAACAGAATTTTTTTCTCGATACAGAGTCTATAGAAGATATGTCTGATCGAAATTTACAAGTTCTACACTTAAGATTTCAGGGCCTCATATCTTTTAATGTTGTAGCAAAAAGCTGAATACTACTGGGGGTGGCGTTGGATGTATTATGAAGATCACAGAATAAGATCCAGATGAAGAATGGAGAGAAGGCTTAATTCCCGAAAATTCAAAGCTTCATCTTTAGGGAAGATTCAGTTACCCAACGGTTTAATCTCAAAAAGATCTCTAGATGCAGGACATCTTAGAGTCGCTCGAGAAAAATATCGTGTCCATCGCCTGGTTGCATTAGCATTTTGCCCTAGAGAAGGTAAAGAATATATGAATCATATTAACGGGGATTCAACAAACAATAAAACATCTAATCTTGAATGATGTTCATAAAAAGAAAACTCTTAGCATGCTGTACGCCTCGGGCTTCAGCGTCAATGTGGTGTTAAGCAGATTTTTGATGATGGGTCTTTCCAAGAATTTCCATCCATAGCTGAAGCACGGCGTGTTACTGGAATTAATAGATATCGTTGGGAATATGTTATGCAATAATACTAGCACGTCTTTCAATTGCACCAAAAATAGCTTTTTATTTCATCTATGTTAGAGTTCTAGTCACAACGTATAATATGCTTCTTCATCATACCCAATACCTTTGCTTGCGGTTGATTTATTATATATGGTAAATTTTTTCGTTCAATTTTATTTTACTTTACGAAACGAACAACAAAACCAATTAATAAAACTTGTTTTGTAGCTACTAAAAATCAAAGAATTTGTTTCAAATATCATCCACAACAATTAATAATGAAATTAAGAATTTTTTAATCATTCAGTTGAAAATTAAATCCGATTAACAGATTAAAGAATTGCTTTAAGCACGATCACGCGCAACCTTATCACATCTGAATTAAAATATTGACACGCAAACCACGCAAGATAAACATTGGTTCGATTATCAACAAAAAAAAAATGCATAGCTCGATCATTTTTTATTTATATTAAGTCTAGAAAGCCATTGAAAATGAATAAATCAATAAAAGAATATTCACATCATGTGAACATTATCGGTGATGGTGGATTCTCATAATTATCGCTAAACTGCCTAATCAACTGATCTATAGCTGGATGTTCCTCTACCCCAACAATATTTTTCGCTAATTTTAATCTTCTGCGCATTGACATGTTAAACAATTCTTTTTCAGTCATATCATCGATTATGTCTCCCATTCTATCATCAACCTCTTCGGGTATGGATTCAAGAAGCTTTGCTCTCTTTGTAAGTGGTTTGGGTAAATCCGTTTGATATGTTATATTTTTTCCGAGTAACTCTAAATAAGTTCTTCCTTCAGCAAGTACGAACTGTTTAATTATTGCCAAAGCAACACTGCGGTCATCAATTATAGATGATGCTAAATAACAATCCTTATTCTCTTCCCCCCAAAAAAAGTAAATAATCCAATTGTCATTACAATCAGTTACGACAGACATAGGGTTTGGGGCGTACGCTTTATCCATTATTAATAATTCTCCGATAACTTGACCCAATTTAAAATTCTCCTTCTTTTTCTTAGTTTCAATCAAAACGCAAGGGGTATTACTTGGTCCAATAGAAATAACGACACCACCTGTTAAAATGACATTGGCAGTTTGTAAATGTCGTTGATAATTTCGTGTATGGACATCCTTTACATGAAAATCTCTTGGTAGATCCAATGCTTTCTTAAACCATTTCTCAACTTCGGACATTTGGTGAGCTTCATCATTTTCCATATCCCATAAGAATGGCCGATATTGTATGGGTTCAATAGGTTGAAAGTCTTCCGCCGATATCTAATAATATATACATGATAAATAATAATATAGCTTAATAGTACAGGACAAGAGACGTGTATTTACTTCAAAAGATTTTAATTCGTAACATTCAATTATATTTCTTGCTTTTGTTTCCGAAAGAGCTGATGTTTGTATCATCTCAGCAAGCTTTTTTCGGGAGAATTCTTCCCTTATTGCACTTTTTACAATCTCGCTTAAAACTTCCGATTCTTCACGTTTGCATTTTAACGTCGCTTGTAATAATAGAAAAAATTCGGTTAGTTTAACGTCACAATAATGCAAAACCACTTTAACCTGTTAATTATCGCCTCTTTCCCGATACATACCAGATGCATTTACAATGACTTGCAGAGGTGTGCTTGAGTTATTCTTGAAGCTCTGGTCCACAGCAAGCTCTGGATCTAAGTCTTCTTTTTCACTGTGTTTTCTTAGGGTAATGTGGTTAAGGGCCACATCATCCAAATCAGGTGAAAGTTCCTTCTTGATCGCTTTTTTTAAGTCGTGTGCATCTTCTCCATCGAAAATAATTTTCACTGGTTGATTGTCGCCGTATTTTGCCCAGATTTTAGAAGGGGTTGACGAAGAACCTAGGTGAAAATCCTCGAGAACTATTTTTTCGCAAAGGTATTGAGTGACTCCTCTACAAAAAATATTTATAATAAATTTACCTACCACTAGATAGCTCCGTTCGTAAGGGAGGAGAATTTTCAAATATTTCGACACCTTTGTCTTTTGCGGTTGTACCAGGTGTGCCAGATGTACTAATAACAGTAGGTGAAACGACCTCTACGGAAGATATTCTTCACTAGATATAATGAATTGTTTCTTCACAAGCAATGCTCGAAAATACATATACTTTACCTGTAACTTTTTTTTTCCGAGGCTTCTTCGGTTTTGGTGGCATCGTTTTTGAAAAAATATTACAGGATTGTTGCGTCATATTATGCGTTAATTCTCGACTCGTGATATCCGTGATATACTTTATATTTTCTGAACAAGTTTTAAGCATCATGCCTTACAATATTACATATAAAAAAAGTGCCAAACTTCGAGAATGCGCCATTATGGCTCGATCTCGGAATTCTACCATCACATGACCACTGCATTTTATAAGTGCAATAAGCGATGTCAATACATTCAGTCAAGCATAATTCTATATAAAAAATTTTTATTTATTTCGGAGAAAAAGAAGCTATCAAAGCCAATCGAGCATTCGTAAGACAGTGACTCATCTAGAATTTGTCTATGCAGACATCAAAATACGTAATAGAGTTAGAATTTTTTTCTCCTGCAGTAATAGCGAATTTCTGGGAATTTGAGAGAAACTCAGTGTCTTTGACACGTAAAAATTGATGCAAAAATTTTCCTTACAAGATTTTGAAATCTACTCTTACATTGATATCTTGTATAGGTGGTTACATCGTTCGTTGATTGTATTTGCAATACTATTCCAAAAATCCACCCTGCTGCCGGAAATGCTATGATACTCGGTACTTTGGTTTTTTCTCTCATTGATTAATAAGCGTAATTGATCGTCTCATCAACATTAGCGGAATTAAAGATAAGTCGTATTATTAGGTGAGACTTCAGTATTTGAGACACTTACCGAGGTATTAGATAAAGATTCGTCATCTTCACTAATTATATCTTCCGAATTAGACGTATGAGACAATTTACAGTGGCGGTCAAAAGTATTGCATCACTGGATCACAAAAATTAAAATAGCAATATATCACGATATAAAATTTGTAGCGTTACGAAATACTTTTATGTGATTCATCATATGTAAAGATATTTAATAATATAAATTTTTTCGCATAACGGTAAAAAAAATTTTTTTTATTCTTCGTTGTAGGTCATTTATGCGATGCATTTTTTTTGATCATTCTCTTTCTTTTCACCTCTCACATATCAAACATAAAAAAAAATAAATTGAACACCAAAAAAACTTGATAGATTGTCAATTACCACCTTGTATAGCCTCCATTTGCTTTAATCACATCGTTTATATGGATTGGCATATTGGTAATTAAATTCACACACATATCATCTTCGAATTCAATCCAAATCTTTTGAACAACTTTCCACAACTGGTCTTGTGTTCTAACAGGGGTCTCTAAATGTCTTAAATGGCAATCTATCTCATTTCACAAATGCTTAATTGGGTTTAAGTCAGGAGACTAAGCCAGCCAATTGAGCATATTAATACCTTTCTCTTCAAACCATTGTTTTGTTGTACAGGTGATATGCTTTGGATTATTATCCTGCTGAAAAATGATTCTTTTTTTATCTATTCTATGTCATCTAATAGTTTCCAAAAGATTTTTCTTCAAGATTTGTTTGTATAGAACACTATCCATCATTTCATAAATATGACATATATTGCCAACAGCATCAAATGAAAAACATCACCATATCATAATTTTGCCACCTCCATATTTCACCATAAGTTTAATATGATGGTCTCGCAATGGTTCTCCTGGTCATTTCCAACAATATTCGTGACCTTCTGAGTCAAATATCATAAATTTAAACTCATCAGACCAGATAACCTTATTCCAGTCTTCTATTGTTCAAGATCGATATTTTTTTGTAAATTTAAGACGTACATATCTGTGTGTTTTTTTCAGGCACAACTTTTTACGTTTAACTCGAGTGTCCAACCCATTTCGACATAAAGTTCTATTTACTGTGCTTTTGCTAACCTCGATTTTTTCATCTGTTATTAACTTTTTCTGGATAGCAACTGCATTTGTATATTTACCTGTTGTAATAAATCATAATACTTTTCACTTGTAATAACCAGTAAGAAGTCTAAAACACCCTGATTTTGGTTTGTCTTGAAAGATACCAGTTTGTACTTTACATTGTTTGATTCTTATGACTATAGATTGTGATACATTTTCATGAGAAGCTATAACTCGTGAAAGATACCCTTCTTCAAAGAGGACATAAATCTGGGCTTTTTTTTTGGGTGATAGGTAAACCATAATAGTAGAAAATTTGAGAGTTAATGATGTAAGTCACAAGTAGAGCTCCTAACGATACCATTTCAATACCAGTTCGATACTTAAATTTATTATAAAAACATATAAGTAGGTCACAACCCATATATTAAATTTATTATAGATCAGTACTATTTCGATACCAGTTCAATACCAGTTCGGTACTTTTTCAGAATCCTAATCACAAGACATTGTTTTTATATAGCTTATGAGTTGTTTTGAAATGTGTTAAGGCATGTACTAGATGTTAATATTTATTTATTAAAAACAGTTAAAAAAAATGCATCACTATTTTTGAAGAATTGCATATCCAGCATGAGAGTTTTTTAAATTACAAAAAAAAAAGTACTTATATATTGAAATTATATTATAACAAGCTCAATTTGGAAATTTTGTGTCATTTCAACATCTGGGTTTCAAAATATTGCTATTTTAAATTTTGTGTTCAAGTGATGCAATACTTTCGACCACCATTGTAGTAGTTAATATAGAAGGTTCAGTTACATATATATGGAGATTCTTTATATCAATTACTTTTTGACATCCAGTTTGCTCATTGACCAATCCTACATTAGATTTTTCAAAGAAAAGCTTTATTGTGTTTTGGATTTGAACACTTATTAAACTAGAAATAGCATCAGCACTATAGGTAACTTGTTTGATTTTATCTCAGTGATATAGAAATCTTAGGAATAGTATTCTTGAAAGCATATGACTATACCTTGTGCAGGTTTCAGTAATCTTCAACTAAACAAGCACTAAAACAATATAACAAGATTGAAGCAGATTTTATATCTGACCCACCAATACCTCAACTATATTACTAAGTTATAAACCATTTAACTTTTCACAATTATTGTTAATTATAGAGTTGCAACCCATGAGCAGCAATACTACCATTAAAAAAAAAAGCAACATAAGTTTAACCAATATAAATAAAAGTAAAGTACTTTGTTATAGATGGAATTAAAATATCAGAAAGTTGTGCTTTATAATTTGATAGCTTAAATCAGTACTTTTTTACTGTTGCTGAAGTTGTATCCAGCTATCAAAAAAAAGTTTAGACCTAGGTAGACATATTTAATTTTCATTTTGCAAAAGATATTATTAACACAAAAGATAATTGCATTCAAAACTCAATATATACTATCACTATTTCAACATCTTTCATTCTTAACTCTTGCAATTATATATGATTTTTGGAAAGTAATTAATCCTGATTTCAAATTAACATATATAATAACTTAATATCAAAAATTACCATCTTTTAATTCTCAATATTTCTATACTCCTTTATTTACATTATAAAAATCTTGTATCTCAAATTATTTAAATAATTTATTCTATCCTTATATGTAGATAATTTCTTTCTTAACTTTTTCCTTGCTCAAGGTTTTTTTATTAAAAATATATTTACTACAATAAATAATAAACTAATATGTATTGTTGGCATAAAAATCTGGCGAGTCTGTCGCTTGAGCGTGCCTCCCATTATGTAACAATGGAGCGCGTCTTCTACTCGAAAGAGGTGTGTGTATTTGGTTCGAGCCATTGGATAGTACTATAGATCAATTGGTAGATCCGGGGATCTAGGGGGTTGCTACTAGTGTGGCAATTCCTCAAGTGTAGTGTGTGTGGGTCAAGTAATAGGGCAAATGTTCAACAATGGAATCTAGAAGAATGTCAGAGTTGCGTAGTACCTGTCTGGAATTCCCCTCATTTTCGTTTCTTCTTCTGTTACTTATATACTTATTTTTAATATACACTTTATATCTACTATACATTTTATACCTGATATACACTTTATACCTGATATAC